TTTAAGAAGTGGATGTTTGGTGCCTACCAACTTCCTCATGTGGTACGCTATGTTGGAAACTTCATCTGACAAGAGGCACCTGAGACTAAGGAACGATGTAGGATAGCCAACAAGTTTTTCAGCATCTGAAACAGCTTTACTGAAACTTTTTGGTGCATCTCGATGCGATGCATACTTTCGAGTCTGAATATTTCTATTTGGAAAGTGAAGGCAATGACATTGGTTTGATCTTATTTTTGGTATTAGTATTACATTTAAGTACTTAGTCAAATACACCAATGATGTTTCTGAATAAAGTTTAGAAAATATGCTTTCTAACGCATGTGACTGCATTTTTGTTAGCTTCCTTTTTTTTCTTTATCGTAGTCTAGTAGTCAATATATCTACACTCTTCTAATAGTAAGATAGATCTGATAGTAATAGATCTAGGTTTGGAGTCTAGTATTTGGGTCAGGTCATGCCATGGTTAGATCTAGGTTGTTTATCTATTTAGCAGGGTGCCTCTACTTGTCTAAACATATTTTTAAAAAATCAAAATTTGAAACATTTCAACAATTAAGTGAATCTAAATATTAATTTAGAACTTATTTAGAGCTGTAGTTTTTTTTTTTAAAGCTGTTGATATTTGTTATAATATCCAATCTCAAGCATTTTATTTGCCAAAGAGATATAGATATTATATATTAACTGCTGGATATTTGATGTTTCGATAATTGGAGTTTTTTTTAATAAAAGGGAAATAACCAACATAAATCATATTTCTCAAAGAAATATACGGTATCAGTTTATATATATATATTAGCTGGTACCCCGTCAAAATAGCGCGAACAAAATAGCGCCGACAAAATAGCGCGAACAAAATAGCGCCGACAAAATAGCGCAGAAAAATATATTTTAGTCATTTTGAAAGAAATACTTTAGATATCCTAAAATATTAATAGGGCCAATATTTGGTTTTATTTTAAAGTTATCATAATTTTTCAGTCAGTTTGCAGGAAACACTTTAGATATCTTAAAATATAAATAAGGAAAAATCATAATAAGGTAAAACGAATAATTTCAAAATAAAGCATTTATTGACATTCTAAAAGTGTACTTAGAAAACACGCAAAGATACTTGTCAAATTTACAGACACACACACAAACTTTCACAAAGTTAAATTGTAGGAAATATCAAGTAGAAATTCCATAACTGACTTGTTTCCGTACATTGGTAATATAGCTTCAAGTCATCTGTTAAGTTGGAGAATTGTCAGAATTATACAAATCAAGATGACGATATTCAGGAGTGAGTCATCTAGCCCATATTTTTTAAAATTTAGAGCTTAACAGGTCCTTACTTCAGAAATTTGAAAGCTTCAAAAGAAACTGCGACAAACCGTTGACATTTCAGACAAAATTCGTTTTTGTCAAGGAGCACTACTGAGATTGGTTTAGGATCTGATGAATCAATAGTTGAGATGGTGACAAAAATTCATATTTACCCGCCAAATCATGAAGTTGCTCAAATCGAATGATTATTTCTTGAAAAATCCGGTCCAATGAAGAATACCTACATTTCCATCGGGTCCGTAACTCTTTCTTGTGCGTTAATAACAGAATCTTTACCTTTTTTTGCCTGTCATCTTTTTCTTGCGTCCAATAGGCTTCGTCTTTGCACTAATACCCAGATATTAGCACATGCTTTTGGCAAAGGTTATACTGGCCTCAGCAATATTTTTCCTACTAGTAGTTAAGATTGCATTGAATGTTGTTGTTTTTTTTTAGTTTAAATTGGCAGTTTTGAATTGACAATTATTGTTTTTGAAGGTAGACTGCGCACCATTTACCCCAAAGCTTTTATCAACTCTCTGTCTGTCTGGTCAAAAGTTTGTACACGTTATTTTTCAATGCCCAATCTCAGACCAAGCTGAAGTTTTGCACAATTATTTCTTTTACCCGACAACACAAGAATCAATAAAAAAAAAAGTTAGACCTACCAAATTAGTTAATTAAGTAGGTAATTATGTAATTATTTATTTTGTTTGGTATCTTGAACAAGGGAAAGAAATGGTACTTGACTGAAGTGGTGGTATAAGCTGAATTAGTCCCCTTGATCGGTCGTCGTCGGAGGCTTAGCGAACATGAACATGAAATAGAAAAATAGATAACTATACAATCTTCCCTGTTTATTAGCTCTTCACCAGCAGAGTGGTTATCATGTTGGCTTGAGAAGGTGTTAGTCTACGAGTTCGTATTCAAGTCGCTCACTTTAAAAAAAAAATACATTTAAAAAACGATCACCCATATACCGTTTTTTCTCCCCTACCCCTTTCCAACTGGTCCAGATAAGTGATAGGATCATAGCGTATTGATAAAGCTAAAAACATGGAAAGGCGCTAAACAAAATTATTAGGTACAAATATTTCTAATAGCACAGAATTATTATTGTTAGTCTAGAATAGTCTAGATCTATTACAAATTTACACTTACACTTAATATAAGTTGTCTAAATTTGTTGGTTTTAGCGTTCCCTTAAACATTACCTCTATTTATCCCTCACGCATTCATTGATCAAGTTGATACTTAAACTATGGGGGTCGAATGACCATTTTTCAGGGGTCGCATAAGACCATCGGAAAATTAGAGGTTTAATCTATCTTTCATTTTTTAAAAATCGTTTCTAATAAGCATATTTGTACCATAGTTGATATTCATTTTCATTTAATTTAACAAAGCAAAGGGACATTACTCACATTGATTTTAATTTAACGATTGAAATACCTTATACCACAATTACTGAAAAAAATCCGTTCGTCCAAATGAAACTTCAACTTTGGCCAACAAAACTAGATGAAAATAAACCGTAGATCTTGCCCACTTGATGTGCTGCTTCATGGGAAGGGGGGCATTGACTAGAACAGACTGGGAGGAAGTACAATGGCGATGAAGAACATTTGTGCACTGAGTCACCAAACTTCTACATCTACGGACATCTTGTTTACAGTTTCTAGAAGTCAAAGTTGAAGATGTTGCAGAGACAGACAGAGTTTATTAAGCTCATCAAAATCGATGCTGCTAAAAATGATGGCTTTTCAATGTCAGTGACACGATTCTGGATCACCTGTTTGCAGCCATATCCCATTTTGAAATTATGTTGCGCCTTCTTCATCCATTTCTAACAGAAGGCTTATATCTTTGCGGAGCAGGTTTTCCAGCCTGTTAGTTATCAAGTCTAAATCAAGAAGTTGACTTGATGCAGAAGATGACATTCATTGTGCTCTTACAAAGACTCCCACAAAAATCCAACCTTCACACCTAACGTTGGCCTATTTACAATGTGTAGCAATGTAGTTGACCTTTTTACTTATATTTTCATCCATGGTTTGCCACACTTTTCAAATTGTGACACAAGTAAGCCTAGAGTAAAAAAATGCACATGTTTATGATAAATACGCAATAGAAAAGTTAATCAATGCAAGTCTTAAAGATAAACTTTCTGTTAGCAATTTATTTATAAAACATTAAATTTACACTAATTACAATTACATAAAGGTTTTTTTTTTTTTGCTGTGTTAAACTTCTACTTATGAAAATACATATTGGAACAGACACAAAATAGAGCAGTGAGATTCATAACAAACGAATATTCACATTTGACTAGAGTAACACCATTAGTAAAATCACTAAATTTAAAAAGCCTTCAGAATAGAAGACTCAAAAGTAAAGTAACAACCATACATAAAACACTGAACCATAATCTTCAAATACAAAAACAAAATCTAATTAAATACTCAGAAAGACACAAAGATAAAGGCACATTCCTCGTTCCATATGCTAGGACAAATTTGTACAAATACTCCTTCTTCCCTATTGCTATTAGAGCATGGAATGGGTTGCCTGAGCTAGCCAGGAAAACCAATGACTTGTCAGAATTTAGGTCATTGGTTAATATGCATGACTAAATGCATGACGCATAAGACGTAATCATCTTCTTTTTTGAAGTAACGTCTGTATTATATAAGATAAGATATAAACATTAGAAAATTTCCATTTACCTATGTACAAAAAAAAATACAGTTGGAGGTTGCTGTTTAGTAGGGAATCCTATTAGGGGGTCGCGGCAACAAAATGGTTGAGAACCGCTGCTTTAAACAATTATTTATTGTGCCTAACAAAACATGAATCAATAAACAAAAAATACTCAATTAGTCAAGTAATTATTGGTAATTAATTATTTTGTTTCATATCGAATAAGGAAAATAACTTGTACATTAATGGTAGTTATAGTTTTAAGGACAGAGTTCTCCCCCTTTAGATACGTTGTTGTTTTTTTAAAAAAGATATTTGATACTTTGCTTGTTTTTCTTGACCACAAATTCTTGAATGTAACTCAGAGCTTGTGGTGTTCTTCTATTTCAACTTAACGTTTCATATGTTGTCTGCTAAGATCATGTCTTCTGTTATTCTGAGAAAGTGCGTTCACAAACAGTGCTTATTGGTTTTCCAGAAGGACTCGAAATTATTAAAAGAATCATTTCTGCTTTTCTTTTGTTCCCGTTCTTCCCAAGCAGAACATAAAGCACAACGTCTTCTGGGAGTTGTGGGGCCTCTAGTAGTAGGGAAACCATAAGTGTCGATTTGGGTGTCCTAATAGCTATATTCCTGTTGTCCTTTTTGATATCAGTTTTTTACTTGTCAACAGCACTCATGTTTTAATTGTTATTATTTCATCTCTGGGGTATAGTGCGCCACTTAGAATGGATCAATACATCACTTTTGGCGCATGCAGCATAGGCTGGACACCTTGCTCAAAGCTGTTCAATATCTAAATAGCGCATCGTTCTATGTATGTATGTATGTATGTATGTAAGTGTGTATGTATGTGTGTATATATGTATGTTTGTGTGTGTGTCTATCTATCTATCTATCTATCTATCTATCTATCTATCTATCTATCTATCTATCTATCTATCTATCTATCTATCTATCTATCTATCTATCTATCTATCTATCTATCTATCTATCTATCTATCTATCTATCTGGCTTGCTGTCTGTCTTTTGGTACGTAGTTTGATTGTTTGATGCTAAATCATTAAAAGGGCGCTATAGCCTCAATGAGTTGATTCTCTTTCTCAAGAAACTCACAAGCTGGCAACAGACAAGCTTGAAAAAAAAACAAAAAATAAATAAATTCACAAACTGTAGGACTAGAATAGACCTCATGGCATAATCAACTAGAAAGATTTAGATTAAGTTCAATGTAGAGTATCATGGATAACAATGTCTTCATGGCGAAGTATGTCTACATATCTGTCAAAGTTCAATGTAGAGTATCATGGATAACAATGTCGTCATGGCAAAGTATGTCTACATATCTGTCAGAGTAAAATGTAGAATATCATGGATAACAATGTCGTCATGGCGAAGTATGTCTACATAGCTGTCAAAGTTCAATGTAGAGTATCATGGATAACAATGTCGTCATGGCGAAGAAAGTCTACATATCTGTCAAGATCTTCTGGAGCCGACGAATGTACTCAATGGCATACCTCAACGTCTGAACCTAAAGACAAAAAAACAAAAGTCTAAACAACAAAGCTCGAGATCTATGGAAGCAGATATACGTCTATGTAACAGTTCTATCATTGCTAGAGCATTTCCGGTAAAGTAGAAACAGACTTCAAGATGATTTTAACGATAAACTAATTAATGTCAAGGACTCCGAATCAAACTAAAATGTATCCAACTAAATTTTAAAAAAAGAGATATTTTAAAAAATACTACTAATGAGAGATGGTTCATTAATTCTTCTTCTTGTAGCCAGCGCTGCTGAGCTGTAAGCTCTTTTGCAGAATGCGCCAAGGAGAAATTGTGTGCTGTTCTCTTCAGTTGTTCAGCACTGCCGTAAAGGATGTTGGTTATGTTGGGCTGTAGTGGTAGTGTGGTCTGCTAAGGTGGATAAGGAAGGGGCATTCGAAGAGGATGTGGTTTACGGTTTTATAAGGGTGGGCGCAGTGTCTACAAAGGGGTAGGTGTGTAATAGTACCTTATTAATGATTGACTGTACCTAACTAATTATTGACTGTACTCTACTAATGATTGGCTGTACCTTACTAATGATAGACTGTACCTTACTAATCATTGACTGTAACTTACTAATGATTGACTGTACCTTACTAATCATTGACTGAACCTTACTAATGATCGACTGCACCTTACTAATGATCGACTGCACCTTACTAATGATCGACTGCACCTTACTAATGATCGACTGCACCTTACTAATGATCGACTGCACCTTACTAATGATCGAACTCACCTTGCTAATGATCGACTGCACCTTACTAATGATTGACTGCACCTAACTAATGATTGACTGCACCTTACTAATGGCTGACTGCACCTTACTAATGATCGACTGCACCTTACTAATGATCGACTGCACCTTACTAATGATTGACTGTACCTTACTAATGATCGACTGCACCTTACTAATGATTGACTGCACCTTACTAATGATCGACTGCAACTTACTAATGATCGACTGCACCTTACTAATGATCGACTGCACCTTACTAATGATCGACTGCACCTTACTAATGATCGACTGCACCTTACTAATGATCGACTGCACCTTACTAATGATCGACTGCACCTTACTAATGATCGACTGCACCTTACTAATGATCGACTGCACCTTACTAATGATCGACTGCACCTTACTAATGATCGACTGCACCTTACTAATGATTGACTGCACCTTACTAATGATCGACTGCACCTTACTAATGATCGACTGCACCTTACTAATGATCAACTGCACCTTACTAATGATTGACTGTACCTTACTAATGATCGACTGCACCTTACTAATGATTGACTTTACCTTACTAATGATCGACTGCACCTTACTAATGATCGACTGCACCTTACTAACGATTGACTGCACCTAACTAATGATTGACTGCACCTTACTAATGATCGACTGCACCTTACTAATGATCGACTGCACCTTACTAATGATTGACTGTACCTTACTAATGATCGACTGCACCTTACTAATGATCGACTGCACCTTACTAATGATCGACTGCACCTTACTAATGATTGACTGTACCTTACTAATGATCGACTGCACCTTACTAATGATTGACTGTACCTTACTAATGATCGACTGCACCTTACTAATGATCGACTGCACCGTACTAATGATTGACTGTACCTTACTAATGATTGAATGTACCTTACTAATGATCGACTGCACCTTACTAATCATTGACTGAACCTTACTAATGATCGACTGCACCTTACTAATGATCGACTGCACCTTACTAATGATCGACTGCACCTTACTAATGATCGACTGCACCTTACTAATGATCGACTGCACCTTACTAATGATCGAACTCACCTTGCTAATGATCGACTGCACCTTACTAATGATTGACTGCACCTAACTAATGATTGACTGCACCTTACTAATGGCTGACTGCACCTTACTAATGATCGACTGCACCTTACTAATGATCGACTGCACCTTACTAATGATTGACTGTACCTTACTAATGATCGACTGCACCTTACTAATGATCGACTGCACCTTACTAATGATTGACTGTACCTTACTAATGATCGACTGCAACTTACTAATGATCGACTGCACCTTACTAATGATCGACTGCACCTTACTAATGATCGACTGCACCTTACTAATGATCGACTGCACCTTACTAATGATCGACTGCACCTTACTAATGATCGACTGCACCTTAGTAATGATCGACTGCACCTTACTAATGATCGACTGCACCTTACTAATGATCGACTGCACCTTACTAATGATCGACTGCACCTTACTAATGATTGACTGCACCTTACTAATGATCGACTGCACCTTACTAATGATCGACTGCACCTTACTAATGATCAACTGCACCTTACTAATGATTGACTGTACCTTACTAATGATCGACTGCACCTTACTAATGATTGACTTTACCTTACTAATGATCGACTGCACCTTACTAATGATCGACTGCACCTTACTAACGATTGACTGCACCTAACTAATGATTGACTGCACCTTACTAATGATCGACTGCACCTTACTAATGATCGACTGCACCTTACTAATGATTGACTGTACCTTACTAATGATCGACTGCACCTTACTAATGATCGACTGCACCTTACTAATGATTGACTGTACCTTACTAATGATCGACTGCACCTTACTAATGATTGACTGTACCTTACTAATGATCGACTGCACCTTACTAATGATCGACTGCACCGTACTAATGATTGACTGTACCTTACTAATGATTGAATGTACCTTACTAATGATCGACTGCACCTTACTAATGATCGACTGCACCTTACTAATGATTGACTGTACCTTACTAATGATCGACTGCACCTTACTAATGATCGACTGCACCTTACTAATGATTGACTGTACCTTACTAATGATTGACTGTACCTTACTAATTCTTCTGTTGTTGTTGTCCAGTGGAAGGCGTTGTCTCAATGTTTCATAACTCTCATTGACGTAACGGACTCGATCACGTTCCCTTTGGTTGCGTCTTCTGACGTTGTTGTAATCACACCAATGACCAGGCAGTGGTACCAGACACATCGGGGAGTAAGGATCTATGTAGTTAGTCTCTGCAGGTCTTCTGGGAAAAAAAAGAAAAATTAAAAGTTCATGTAACAAAATTTAAAGGGTTAGTATCTTCAGAAATAACATTTTATAAAAAAAAATGAGTTCAAAATATACATTATATTTGCGACAAAATTGTTATTTTTACCCATTTGTAAATTATGTTGCAGTACACTTTAATCTCAAATTCAATCATTAGTAAATATTAAATGAAAGAGACTGGTCAGCAAGACCGTGGGACGGGTGGTTGATTCAGTTAACCACCCACAGACAGACTCATCTTTTGGAGGGGGGAGGTGGGCGTATTTAAGTGGAGATATAATTGAATCACAATGACTATACAATGGATGCTTTATAAAATTATGTCAGAACTTGACAAATCTAAACTCTCAGTCAACTTGAGTTGGATACAATGACCTCCCTCCGCGCCAAGGTTGCTACGCCACTGGCTATAACTACATTTTTTTCTGTTGTTACTTGCTACTGAAAATAAACAGACAATCCTCGAACCCATAGAATTTATGTTGACATCATTCTGGCAGTCTTTAGCAGTCAAGTCATTCTAAAGACTAAGTGTATAACAAGTAATATATATATACTTTTTAAAAAGTATATATATTTAGTGAATTGGAATAAATTATTTTGAATCAGTCATGTTATTATTTTTTTTTTATAGATACTAAATTTGTGAGATTGTAAATATTTTTAGTAATTGTTTAGCGTAACTTTCATGCTTTCAAGCATGCTCTGGGCTCTATGGTCCAATCTGGGAGCGGCATCTGGGAGAAGGTTTCCATGCTGCCTTTCAAAAGTAGTTCTTCTACCCTTTTCCAGACCTTATCATATATAATACAGGCGTTACTTCAAAAAAGAAGATGATTGCGTTCTATAGGTCAGGTGATGAAAAGGTCATCTGTTACTTTGACCCACAGTTAACGAGAATGTCATGTGGCCAGCACTACGACCAACCGCATATAAGTTAATTGAACTCGGTTCTCTAAGCTCCATATTGGAAAGCCGACCTCTTTAGCGACTGAGCTATTCAAGTTATTATACAAGTACAAGGTTTTATAGTCTAATCTAAGATAACATTTTTTTAGCGAACGACAAAGACTTATCTATCCATAGCGTAGTACATTTCTTTTAAAAAAATATTACTTAATTACAACTACTTGATAAATTAAGTGGTTAATATTTTAAATTGATTCATTTTTTTGTCATAGACAATAAATAATGGTGCAAATTTTCATATTGATCCATGATTGGGAAGCGGAAGAAATAATGTGACAAGATTCCACCCAGACGGAGGGAGTTACTAAATTTGTTGTTCTAAAGTCATATTTATAGATAGGAACAGTGCTAGATATATTAGTTGTAGAAAGACTTTAGAATCTACGAACTAGCCTCGCAGGACGTCCCCAATGAGTCTAACAGGATATTTCAATGGTGTGAATAGTTGTAAATATAAGAACGTAATTCATGGACGGTTAAGGAGAATGGGTTGCTATGTGTGTTGCTATGTGTAGCTATGTGTTGCTATTTATAGTCACCAATAAGATATCTTATAAAAAATCTCACAGTATTGGGACAAAATAGAAAACACCAAACTGTGAAAGGTGGACAGGGAAATATAGAG